ACCAAATGGAGAGCAAAAATAAATAATAAATAAATAAAAAGCAGGAGTTGCAATTCTTGTATCGGATAAAATAGATTTTAAAGTAACAAAGATATAGTGGTAAAAGGATCAATGCAACAACAAGAGCTAATGATCCTAACACCCAGATACATAGAGACTTAGACACAATGGGACAGAAAATTAATAAGGATATCAAGGACTCGAACTCAGATCCAGAACAAGTAAACTTAATAAATATTTATAGAGCTCTCCACTTCAAATACACAAAATATACATTCTTGTCAATACCACATCACACCTACCCATTAGTTTAAATGAAACATTGATTGGCCATTATTAATACCCAATTTTTTTCAAAATAAAGCAATATTTCCATTTACTCTCCCTCTTTCTTCCTCTCCTTTACTTATTATTATTTTTATTTTCCTTCTCTCAAAAAAAAAGAAATCAACTTGTAAACCTCTAGATCCAGGTCGGCAATGTCTCTTTCATTGCTTGATTTCCTTTCTTCCCTTCCCTCCCTCCCTCCCTCCCCGCTTCCTCCCTTCCTTCCTCCCTACCGTCCTTCTTCCCTTCCTTCCTGCCTTCCTCCCTCACCCCCAAAAAAATAAGTAGTTATGGATTCCTCTATAGCTGAACAATTTATTTTGAAAACCTGAACTATCATTGCTCAAAGTCTGGATGTGGATTTTTTTTTTTTTCGATTGGAAAATCAAGAATGTAATGGTGGTCTTTTTTTATATAAAAAGAAGAAAACTCCAGAATTATGTAAGTTTTATTTTTAAAGTGGCAGTAACCATGATCACCTCTCGAAACACTATATTTTACTTAAACCTTGGAACAAACATTTACTCTAATGTAATTAGATGGTTTATGCTTCCTTAATTTACTCATTGCTATTCCTGCATTCAAACTATTTCCACTATTCCTTGGACTCTTCCTGATTCCAAGTCCTACCTAGTCCTTTAATGCCCAATGTAAGTCTTCTTTTTTTGGTATAGCCTTCTCTAACCACCTCCTTGGGTATCACTTTCTTCTGAGATGATACGGTGGCCTCTCCTTTTGGTTTTCAGCTTAAGCACAATAAGGTGACAGATGCTGTATCTCTCTCTATATTTTTAAGTTATCATCTCTTTGGGGACAGTAGAGTGTCCTACACATTTTTATACTCCCAGTTCAAGTATAGGGATCAGTCTATAAATATTAATTGATGATTATTACTTGGATTATTAACTGGATTACAGTTGCCTTCTCTCTTTTACCAGGACACAAGAAGCATGAGAAATTGACAAAGATGTACTGACTCCTCAGCCTTAGCCCTGGCTGGTAGCAAGAGCTAACTTACAGGATTTGTTTTTGTTAGAGCCAGACTAAATACAGCTTAATAAACAACCACATCTTTCCCCATGACTGCTTCAATTGATGGATTGGGTGAACATCTCACAGAAAATTCTCATGTGATTAATCTTGTCCCAGAATCCACAGAGCTATTCTCATTATCCAAGAGAAAACTATACAGACAAGCACTTTCCTTCCACTTGTTAGATAGCCATTGTTTACTTGCCCTTTACTTATTTACAAATAAGTAAACCACGTGTTTACTTGCCATTCAGAACAACTAATTCTCCATTTTTCTTTCAGATAAGTTCAAATAGTATATAGTTCAAGGATCTAATCATGAAAAGGTCAAGAAATTGAACCCCGGGGGGTTGCATGTACTTCTTTCTTTTCTCTTTTAATAAAATTACCTTATATGACTCTGCAAGTACAATGGGACCTAGTATATCCATTTCTCATAAATGTTGGATTTGTGAAAATGTCTGATACACTCTGGACAGATTATCATCTGTCTTTGCATTACCTTGGAGGAATATATTTTCCAAATGAATTAAAAATGCTAAATAAGATCAAGAGGAATGTTTATCCATTAACTTTTGAAGTTTACTTTAATTTTTTAAGGTTCCATCTTTGCTTTAATTTTTTTTCTTCAGCTAGGCATGGTGCATCGTGCCTGTAATCTAGGACTTTGGGAGGCCAAGAGAGGAGAATTGCTTGAGATCAGAACTTTTAGACAATCCTGGGCAACATAGAGACACCCCGACCTTTAAAAAAAATTAGCTGAGCCTGGTGGTACACACCTGTAGTCTCAGCTACTCAAGAGGGTGAGGTGGGAGGATTGCTTGAGCCCAGGAGTTCAAGGGTGCACTGAGCTGTGGGATTGTGCCACCTGCACTCCAGTTGGAAGACAGAATGAGACCCTGTCTCAAAAAAAAAAAAAGTTTCGTCTTTCCTCTATGGTAGTTTATAAAAAGAGATTTTCTTTGCTTCAAACCTGCCCTTCTACTCTTGCTTTGTGAAGGAAACCATATTTCTGTTTTGTGATTTGGCACTTGGCTTTCTCAGTAATAAGGACTTGAGAGTCACTGGAAAGTGAGAAGAAGAAGGAACTAGCTCCTTCTTGTTTGCTGCTGGTTCAGCATCACCTTCAGACTCTTCATCATGCTGGCGGTGGCAGTCTATTTCAGTAGCAGCATCTGGATTTAGTTTACAATTTTCTGAACAATCACCAGCCTCATTGTACTCCCTTACAGAACCAACAACAGTGAGATCCTTCTTCCAAAATTTTGCCTTTTTTTTTTTTTTTTTGAGATGGAGTCTACCTTTGTCACCTAGGTGGGAATGCAGTGGCACTGTCTCAGCTCACTGTAACCTCCGCCTCCCGGGTTCAAGCGATTCTTCTGCCTCAGACTCCCAAGTAGCTGGGATTACAGGTGTGTGCCACTAAGCCTGGCTAATTTTTGTATTTTTAGTAGAGATGGGGTTTCATCATGTTTGCCAGGCTGGTCTCGAGCTCCTAACCTTGTGATCTGCCCGCCTCCGCCTCCCAAAGTGGTGAGATTACAGGCATCAGCCACAGTGTCCAGCCTAGTTTTTGCTGTTTAATAATTTTTATATATTCTCTTTGGATTTAAGAACATAGCAGTTGCTTAGTGTGGTTTTAAGTTTGGGAATCCCCTGTGTCTGTGTGTGTGTGTGTGTGTGTTTTTTTTTTTTCCGTTTTCTGTTCTTCAATATTCAGTTAACAATTCTTTATATTAAAGTCACTTTGTTTAAATAACTGGTAGCATTTCTGTCTCTTGACTGGCTGTGACTGATACAGATCATATAGGTTGTCTTATGTGTTCGAAGGTTTATATTTATATTAGTATATATTTTTCTGTCTCTCATATATATGAAACAGAGTCTCACTCTGTCACATAGGCTGGAATGCAGTGGTACAATCACAGCTCACTGTAGCCTCAATCTCCCAGGCTCAAGCAATCCTCCCACCTCAGCCTCCCAAGTAGCTAGGACTATAGGCACTCACCACTATGCCCAACTATTTTTATTTTATTTTATTTTTTGTAGAGACAGAGTCTCCTTATGTTGTCCAGACTGCCTTCGAACCCCTAGGCTCAAGGGATCCTCCTGCCTTGGCCTTCCAAAGTGCTGAGATTACAGGTGTGAGCCACTGTGCCTGGCCTAAAAATATTTTAAATAAATCCTTTAATCCATATACTTCACCTTCTCAAATTTCCACCAAATGTATCTGAATTAGTGCCATGTTGTAAAAATCATTATTTCCCTCTCTATATCACCTACTTAACAGGGTTGATGCTAATACTGTCCCTCAAGACTTAAAAATAATCCCAAAATTTCCATTTCCAGCAAGCAACAATTGCTGTTATTCTGTGTTGCCCTGTCCCCCACACCCTAGCGAGAGGGGATGACTTGGAACAGGAATATCCAAGTCAGCCCCACTCTTGTGACATTTCCAAATCACAGGAGGGAGCGGCACAGGCCACTAAGACTCATCACCCCCAGGAAGCAGATGACCCTGGGTCTTTCCTAGTCCTTCCAGTGGAAGGGGTAGCCCCAGGGAGAGCAAAAGAATTGACTTAAATATTCCTTTCAACATGGCTCAGCATGAGTGTGAATGGATTTCAGGGATAGAAGCTTTGGTTTGAAGTTGGCTATTCTGAGGTCAGAGGAAAATTTCTCCCTTGAGAAATCTGTGCTCTGTGCTCAGAGGGGTATTTGCCGCTCTACTTTTACTTCTCTGTCAGCTTCCCCGCCACCCCCCAACTCCTCCTGATTATGGGCTGGTAAGCATGAATTCATTCATAGTAAGTTTAATAGAATTTACTAAGTAAGGGCATGGCTGAGTTACAGAAAGGAGAAAATGCAATGTTTATTAAGTGTCTTCTATGTGATACAGGAGCTGGGGACTTTCTTGACAGTAATTCTGTGAAGTAATGGTTTGATCTCTATTTTGCATATGATAGAACTGAAGCTCTTTGACTTAATTAACTTAGAGTCACCCCCTTAGTTAACCTGCGTGACAGAGTGAGACTCTGTCTCATATACATATGAGAGACAGAAAAAAAATATTAATATGTATACATATAAACCCTCAAATGCATAAGACAATCTACATCAGTCACAGTCCAGTCAAAAGACAGAAATGCTGCCAGTTATTTAAACAAAACAAACTTAATATAAAGAATTGTTAACTGAGTACTGAAGAATGGAAAATAAAAATACAGGCCTTTGGTTCTTTAAATCCTGCATTCTGCCCACTATATCGTACCTGTGTATGTTGACAGGGAAAACAATTGGCTCTAACCATTTGTAAGGGTTCTTCTAGTCAAAACATTATTTGGAATACTGAAGAAAAGAAAAACATGGGCATTGTCTTAGAGATCCACAGTCTAATGGTCCATCTGTTTTTCTAAATAAATCTTATTTTTTTAGAACAGTTTTAGACTTATAGAAAAATTGAGAAGCTAGAACAAAGAATTCCCACATACCCTACCCCACAGCCAGTTTTGCCTATTGTTAACATCTTATTTTAGTATGATTCATTTCTTAAAATGAATGACTCACTATATACATTTTTATTAACTAAAGTCCATAATGTCCGCTTCCATCCCAGCATCCCATCCAGGACACCACCTTACATTTAGTTGTCACGGCTCCTTAGGTTCCTCTTGGCAGTGACAGTTTTTCAGACTTTGTTTTTGATGACTTTGACAGTTCAACACTTTTGAGGAGTGCTGGTCGGGTATTTTGTAGGATGTCTATTTACCGAAATTTACCTGATGTTTTTCTCGAGAGAGACAGAAAAATATGATTAGAATGGGTTTATAGATTTCTGGGAAGAAGATCACAGAGGTAAAGTGACATTTTCGTCACATCATACCAAGGGCATATACTATCAACATGACTTGCGACTGTTGATATTGATGTTGATCATCTAAGATAGTGCTTGTTAGTTTTCTCCACTGTAAATGCCCCAGTCCCTTTCCGTAGCTTGCTCTTTGGAAGGAAGTCACTATGTGCAGCCCACACTTTAGGAGTGGGGAATTTTGTTCTTGCTTTTTGAGGGTGGGATATCTAAATAAATTATTTGGAATTCTTCTGCATAGGAGACTTTTCTCTTTTCCCCCATTTGTTAATGTATCCAATTATTTATTTATATTATTGTGGAAGGATGGGTATTTCTTTCCTCCTTTAGCGTTTAATCCAGTACCATTTTATTTTTTGCTTACATGATGCCAGCTTTGGACACTGGACCTCTTTGGACAGTTGGTCCCCATGTCCGTTTAACAGCCCTTTATCAATGCCTTTTTTTTTTCCTTTGAGCACTTCCTTATTTTCTGGAACTTGTTTCTTGTTCCAGGCTCATCTTGTATATTTTCTGTGTTTTTTATTGTAATTCTATACTTTCATACATGTAAATAACAAAAGAAAAAACTAGTTTGTGGTTTAGGAAAAGCATCATGACAATGGAATCTCCTCACCCAATAGTTCCACTTAGGAGCAGTTTAGTAAGTCAACTGCTGTTTGGGAGTTTCAGAGATGGAACAAGTGAGCGACTTTTCACTGCGCAGGGTCTGATTGACAACACTGAATTTTTTCTTTGCCTATAGACACATTTTGTAATACTCACAAAAAGAAAAAAATCGGCTTACAGCTCTTTTGATTTCCTCTGAGGGTTCATCCCTGTCTTCCTCCTTTATTGGCTGAAGGAGCACAGATGAATGCAAATGCTTATTAAATAATCACTTGCTACAAATGCTGATTAGGATTCGGACTATGTCAGCAATTGTTGCTTGCCAGGCTCTTGGCAGAGTTCTGATCGTGTTAGGTTTTCGGTAATCAATTTATTCTAATACAAACCATATTGGATGGTGGAGTTTTATGCCTTTTTATTTCCTTTAAACAGCCTTTGGAAGTAAATGCTTATTATTTTGAAATGCAGCCAAATTCTGGCCACCACAGGAGTCCACTGTTAAGATGTGCTCCTAACACATTAGATATTTTCTTGGCTTAGGCAGAAACACTTAACAAATCGGACAGAAAATTAATGTTTTTGATTTTCCTTCCTATCTTCAGATTATTTGGGTTTCATTAGGAAACTGATAGTCACCTTTTATTTGATGAAACTCTGTATATAATTAACCTCCCCCTTCCTGCTTTATTTTGCCTACCGTTTAGGTAAACAAAAAATACCCAAGCATTTAGTATTCAAATTCAGTAAAAAGTAGCAACTATGGGGTAGGGAAAGTCCAGAGAAAGGGAGGATTAGGGGGTTTCTGGGAAGATGTCAAATAAAAATTGACAACCAGCAATGCAGTGAATTAGAAGGGTGATTATGCTGAGACACCGAGCATAGAAGTTGTTTAGGGCCCTCCACGGGAGTGGCTCTGTAACAAAACCATGTTCTAAAGGTCACTTAAGGATAATGTCAATAAGACAAATATTTTGAGATTTATGGGGTAGTAGAAGAAAGACAGGACTTCAGATAAGCACCTATGGATAAGGGTCAGAGACATCTAAGGTTTGAGCAAAGGTGACAATTTCAAATACCTGCACAGAGTTGGGAGGTGACCTACATGCAGGGATACTATTGATAAAATCTAACAGCTGATGTGGCACCAACACTTCCCAATCAGGAATGGGGCCAACAAGTACCCTGTGCCACAAGAATTTCTTCTTTATCTGCTGAATGTTAGGGAAGTCTGGAGGGTACTGAGGGGTTGGGTCTGGAATAGTTGGCAAAGCAGAGATACATTTGGAGGGCATAGTACAATGCAGATTTACTGTATTAGGGTTCCCTAGAGGGACAGAACTAATAGGATAGATGTATAATACATATGAAGAGGAATTTATTAAGGAATATTGACTCATACGATCACAAGGTAATTCCCACAACAGGCCATCTGCAAGCTGAGGAGCAAGGAAGCCAGTCTGAGCCCCAAAACCTCAAAAGTAAGGAAGCTGACAAATGCACCTTCAGTCGGTGGCTGAAGGCCCGAGATCCCCTTGCAAACCACTGATGTAATCCCAAGAGTCCAAAAGCTAAAGAGCTTGGAGCCTGATGTTCCATGGCAGAAAGCATTCAGCATGGGAGAAAGATGAAGACTGGAAGTCTCAGCAACTGGGCTTCCCCTACCTTCTGTCTGCTTTATTTGAGCTGTGCTGGCAGTTGATTCGATGGGTCTGCTTCTTCCAGTCCACTGACTCAAATGTTAATCTCCTTTGGCAACACCCTGACAGACACATCCAGGAACAATACTTTGCATCCTTCAATCAAGTTGACACTCAGTGTGAACCATCACATTTACCAACTATCTAAAGTATTGCAATGTTTTAACAACCTGTTTGGCAAATGGATGTGTACTAGAGAGCTACCAGACCTTTCCACACGGGTAAAGTGGGCTCTATGTGGATACTACGGTGTGGTGCCGACTGCAGTAAGCTTGGGCAGCCTGAGCAGCCTGCTCTCCTGGAGTGCATTAGAATTGGAGTCCAGTGGATTTGTAGGTGCATTAGAAATATTCTTTTTAAAAACAACTCTTTAATCCTGTGCAGATGAAACAAAGCATATATGTAGGATGGCCATGGGCATTTATCATTACAGGAGACTTCATACCCAGATTTCTGTTTTAATAGCTAATGAATTTTAACACCAATGCTTCAAGTAAGAAACGTCAGGGTTTTATTTTTAAGCTTTTCATTCATTTCTCATTTCTTCATGTATTTATCAACACTACTGAAGACTACTTCTTTTTCCTTACATTTCATCATTTATTTCTTAGTATCTTTATTGTTAGGCTATCCATCTCCATCTCCCACTTAACTCTTAGAATAGTACCTGAGCCTCAATTTCCTACACTTTGACATCAAATTCATTTTTTTGTGTTTTCATTTAATAATTATTAGACAACTCCCTGCATCAGACACCATGCTGGATGCTGGTATAGAAAAAATTATAAGACAACGATTTCTTCTTGCCCTCAGGAGCCTGCTGTCTAAATTGACCCAACTATCCATCAACGAAGTGTTATTGAGATTCTGGTTGACATCATCTCATTTAGTACTTAGAGACGCTGATTGAATGGTCTTCTCTCTGTTTACCCTCTTTCCTCATGCTACCATAGTGTTTTCCTCAGCATCTCACATCAAGGGTGTATTAGTCAGGGTTCTCCAGAGAACCCTGGTTGATAGACATAAATATATGAGATTTATTATGAGAATTGGCTTGCAGGATGGTAGAGCCCAAGAAGTCCCACAATATGCCATCTGTGGGCTGGGGACCCAAGAGAAAGTGGCATAATTGAGTCTAAGTCTGAGGCCTGAGAACCAGGAGAGTTGGTGGTGGAATTCTCAGTCTGAGGCTGAAGGCTTGAGAGTCAGGAGCTGTGATGTTGGAGGGCAGGAGAAGATGCATGTTCCAGGTCAAGTAGAAAGCCTGTCAGAATTCACCTTTCCTCTGCCTTTTTGTTCTATTCAGGCCCTCAATGTACTGGATGATGCCCAACGAAGAGCTTCTTTTACTCAGTCTACTGATTCAAATGATGATCTCCTCTGGAAATTTTCTCACAGACACACCCAGAAATAATGTTTTAACAGCAGTATGTAAAATTAACCATCCCAACGGCCTCATTCTTGTTCTTGTAGTCCTTATGGAGTCCCTGGACCCTGTCATCTCCCAGTTCCGCCACACCTTCCTGTTTTCCCTTTGTGGCATTCAGACTAGCTTGATCAATCTAAATTCCCTTTCCCTTGCTGAGCCCTCCTGCACCCTCAGATCTCTGACTTCACCAGGGAAATGTTCATCAACCCAATTCATCAAGGCCTATAGCTTTCTCTGAACCTCTGTAGCTGGGATCACACTTCACCTGGGTAGATCCATGCCCTCTGCCCTTGCCTGGGACATACTGCTAACATGTTTCCTAAAGGATTAGGTGTGATGTGAAATGCCACATCTAGTAAGGGAAGGATGCTGCTTGATAAAAAGGAGCACCAGACTGACTTAGCAAGAGAAATGGGGGAAAAAGACAAAAGAGAGAAGGGTAAGTGTACTTTTAATTTTAATTTTTAAAAGGAAAGGCTTCCCTCTTCTAAACTTCAAAGAGGCTGTGAACAGTGGTGAGTTCTGAAAGCAGCTTTGTGCAGGCCACACCATAGAGATTGGTTCGTTTCATAAGTGGAAGAGAATGATGCCTTGGATTCCATTCAAATTGCCTTTTTCCTCAGTTTAATGCCAAACCTGTTCTAAGTCAAGCAGAGAAGACACGTGGTAAGGTCAGACATGAATGGATGCCATGCCTCAGTGTCTCTTTCCCAGATTTCTGTGGTCAAGCCTATTTACATGGAAATGAGGGTGTGCCAGGACCTCTGATCTGGCCCTATTGCCTTTAAAGGATTAGAGTGAGAAAGTGGCCATGTCAATTTTCAGAGATTTACATACTGCTGTATAAGGAAATTATTGCCATACTAAATATTATGTATTGAATTTTGCCCCCCATCCCCCAAAGATATGTTGAAGTCCTAACCCCTGGTACCTTAGAATGTGACTTTACTTAGAAGTAGGGTCTTTGCAGAAGCAACTAAGTTAAAATGAAGTCATTAGGATGGGCCCTAATTTAATATAATGCTGTCCTTATAAACAGAAAAAATTTGGACAGAGACAGTCATGCAGAGAAGAAAGACGATGTGAAGATACACAGGGAGATGATGGCTGTGGGATGCACTGATGCATCTACAAGTCAAAGAATGCCAAGGATTGCTAACAAACACCAGAAGCTGTGAGAGGCAAAGATGAATTCTCTAAAGCCATCAGATGGAGCATAGCCCTGTCGACACTTTGATTTTGGACTTCTAGCCTTCAAAGCCGTGAAGCAATACATTTATATTGTTTCAAGCTCCCAAGTGTTTTGGTACTTTGCTAAGGCAGTCATAGAAAATGAATACTCCTCCTTTACTTTGTCAACAGTCCCACAGCAGGCCTGCCTACAGCCTACCAGAGACCAACTAATATAAGGTAAACTTCTTCTGCTTAGAGAGTATATTGCAGACACAATACGTGTATTTTGCACACAAAATCGGTGCTCATCTATAGGCTGATAACACCTTCCATGTTATGATACAGATTCTAGATACAGTACAATGCCTTCTCTGTTATTCTAGAGCTGTATTGTCCAAAACGCCATTAGCCAAATGTGGGTCTCTAAAATGAAATTTCAATTCAAATTAATTCAAATCATTAAATTAAAAAATCTTAGACACATCAGCCCAATATCAAGTGCTCAGTAGTCACAGTGACTCATTACAGTATTGGACAGCGTGGATGTAGAACATGTTCATCATTGCAGAAAGTTCTTTTGGACAGTGCTGTTCTAGAGAATGAAATATTCTATTCAGTTGGTTGTTCTGGTTAGCTGAGAAATACCATGTCCTCTGAAAAAAGAAAGAAAGGAATGAAAACAAAAAAGCTGATACAGTTACCTCTGAAATAGAACTTTAATAATTCTGAAGGCATGTTATAGTTTTCAAATATTTTAGGGGTAGGAGTATGACTTTCAATATTCACTATACTGATAGAGGGCCAGAATATTGGCAAATGCAGAGCTGGGTTGACTGAATGCTAAATAAATCAGCATTTTCTGTCTCAACTATGGCCCAAATACAAAATCTAATCACTCTGGGGAATAATTTAGGAACATTTAAAGTCATTAGGATCATTAGATCTGACTCGAATGATGCAAAATAAACAACCCTCCCAGCCGGATTTGGAATCATCAGTTCTACTGCCTTCTAACTTGAGGCTAAGTCCTCTGAGCTTGAATATATGACAAATGTTTTTCTTTTTTTGGCTATGTGTATTCTCACAGCTATGTTTTTTTCATTTGTTTCACTGAAAACAATCTGTAACCCTAATTACTTATTGTCTCAGAGTCATATAGGGCTATTATTAAGGACTGGTAGTATAGTTTGTTTCTTTTTTTTCAGTCAGGAATTCAACAGAGCAGACAGTCTCTATATTGCTGTATACTGGTCTCCATCCTTCATGAAAACATAATCAGCTCTGGAGTATATCTAGCAGTTTGATATTACTATCACCATTTTTCTTGCTCTCTGATTTTTTGTAATAGAATTTTTACATTTCTTCTGGATCTTTGGGTCAGAGTGACATTTAGTTTGCCCCTCTGACTTCTAGCTGCAATTTTCTTTGTCTGAACTATAGAATGGGAGACAAAATATCCCTTTTAATTGTGGTTAGAGGGCTCACCAAGGAACAGTGGTAGGAATGTAGCTCCAAATTCTTAAATTATGGATAACTAAGTGATACTTTATATACAGAGGAGACTCCAAAAATATCCTTCACTGACTGGTTGGCTTGAAGGAATTAACATACTCTTCCATTAAAAAAATTTTGTCTGTATTTAAGAGAAATGTGGTGTTTTTTAAAATAAATTGCTAGAGAAGGTTCTCATCCCAACTTCTAAGCAAGGACAGCCATCCTATTCAGTTTTACTGAGAACAGTGATTTGGATGTTTATTTCTTTTGTTCTACCAAAAAATGTTGTCAGTTGTTTTGCCAAGAGATACAGAGCTGACTGGGCTCTGATAAAGCTTATTAGGATGGCATGATGAAGAGGATGATATTCTCCTGGAGAAGCAGGCTGGGACTCTGCGCTTGCCTTGTTAATTCCCTAGGAAGACAGGTCAGTGGGACGCAGTGGGATTCTCACCTTTCCAAGGCCAGCAAGCCAATCATATGATTGACAGATTATTATGTGGATTAAGAGTAAAGAGGAATAGATGAAACAAGAGACAGAAGTTGAATAGGAGAACATTTTCTATGTAGAAGGTAGAGATGTTTTATTACATTTTCTGATCATTCCTCACTCATCCTAGCCAGTCTGTCCTTCCCTTCAGTATGGAAGATACACGGTATTTTGCATTTTAAGAAATCAAAAAACAAAAATCTAAACCAAAATATCCCAAAAGTTTTAGAAGAATAGCTAGTATAAAAAAACTTTCTAAATTACCAAAGAATAAATGTGTAGGATTTCTCCGAATAGTGAGATTTGGTTGAAATCTTTGTTCAGATTTCATGCAAATCAATTTGTTTCTTTTCTTTCTAGGTTCTGGATGTCTCACTATTCACTGAAGCTGGTTTACCATGGGCGGCTCTTTCTCTTATTATTGGGGCTCTCATTGCAAGTTATGGATAACTCTCAATCTTACTTCCAAATTTGTAACTCAAGCCCAGATCTCTTTCTTGGACTCTAGATCCATATATTCAATCATGTACATAAGTACTCTGCTTAGCATCTCAGTGGACAACCTCAGACTGAACTCTGTGCAAAACTGTTCTACCAACACCTTCCTGTGTCATATTTTGGTAACTCCAGCATTCCAGTTGCTTATGCCCAAAACCTTGACTCTTGCTGTTCACATCACACATCTACCCAGTCAGGAAATTCCCTTTCAAAGTATCTGCAGTCTGTCCACTTCTTACCTCCCCTACAGTTACTGCTTGCCACCAACATCTCTCACTTTGGGTAGTATTACACTAGCCACTCAGTAGTTCTCTGCTTCCATCTTTACTCTTTATAGTTTTTTGACTCAGCAGTCAGTTTAGGAGCCATTACAGGGTTTTGAGCCGAGTAGTGATATAATCAGACTTACTTTTTTTTTTTTTTTTTTTTTTTTTTTTGAGACAGAGTCTTACTCTGGTCACCCAGGCTGGAGTGCCATGGCGTGATCTCGGCTTACTGCAACCTCCGCCTCCTGGGTTCAAGTGATTCTCCTGCCCTAGCCTCCCGAGTAGCTGGGATTACAGGTGCCCACCACCACACCCGGCTAATTTTTTGTATTTTCAGTAGAGATGGGGTTTCACCATGTGGAGCAGGCTGGTCTTGAATGCCTGACCTCAGGTGGTCCACCTGCCTCGGACTCCCAAAGTGCTGGGATTATAGGCGTGAGCCACTGCACCCAGCCCAGACTTACATTTTAAAACAACCCCTCCTTTCTCAAATATCACTGGTATGGCTTGGAGATGCTGTGTTTAGTCTCACCAAGTCTCATGTTAAACTTTGATCCCCAGTGTTCGAGGTGGGGTCTGGTGGAAGGTGTTTGGATTGTGGGGGTGGATCGTTTATGAATGGGTTGGTGCCATTCTCGTGGGAGTGAATTCTCACTCTAGGTTCCCACATGAACTGCTTGTTGAAAAAAGCCTAGTACCTCCTCTTCTCTCTCTGGATTTGTCTCTCATCATGTGATGCCTTCCACCATGGATGGAAGATTCCTGAGGCCCTCACCAGATGCAGATGCTAGCATCATGTTTCCTGTACAGCCTGCTGTAAGCCAAATAAACTGTGAGCCAAATGAGCACCTTTTTTTTTTAGTAAGTTACCCAGCCTCAGCTCTTCCTTTATAGGAATACAAGTGGACTAAGGCAATCACGCATTCAGTAAAGCCCACTATCAACACCTGGTTTAAATGACAGGCTGATTTTCCTTAGCATTCTCAATGACATTAGCTTGATCAATTTTTCACAGCACTAATCACTTTTTCTCATAATTCATCCATTTATCATGTTTATTGACAGTCTCTCAGGTCCCACTTCTGCAGAATGTAAGCCATATGAAGGCAGACATTTTGTCTGTTCACTGATCCATTCCAAGTATTGGAATTATACATGGCACACTGTAGGCAGTAAATGAGTATTTGTTGAATGATTTTAAAATATTTTCTTTGTAACACATCCAAGAGTCTTCAAACACATACAGTGAAGTCTACATTCTCCCCCTGCTCCTTAGAAATATTGACCAGGTGATCCAGCTTTTTAAGTTAGAGTTAGATAATAAAAATCCTTGAGACAGTTTTTGCTACAGGGACAGAATTATTTCAGTGCTTTAAATGACCCAGTTCCATGTAGTAATAGTCAATTTGAAAGTATTTCCTTGTCCTAGCTTTTGAATCCTGTAATGAGGAGGAAGCATAAATGGCTTTCACTACACATCCCCTGCAACCTAGTTCTACTCCTTCAACCCAGCTTCACTAGCCCAGGCTTCTGACTACTTCGGAATTGGGAAGAAGGAATTAAGGAAATGCACAGTGTTCAGAGATTGGTATTTTCATGACATGTTCATAGTGTTCATAAGACTTGGCAAATATGAATCCAGATCTCTCCCTTAGGATCCATTTTGTGGGTTTCTAAAAAACTCTCCATTGGGAACCTCCACTGACTAGTCCTGTGATGTGGGATGTGACTGGCCACTCAACACAAACTCTCAGTCTGTGGGGATCTGGCCTCCCACCCCACAACATTCTGGTAAACCTCTTGAGCAAGGTCTCTTTGAAGATGGCTCCAGCCTGGCTTCCACAAGACCCACAAGCCCCGAAGTCAGTGGGAACCTCTCCTCCATCCTCGCCTGTGTGAAAATGCAACTCTTTCTCAGGCCTGCCCACTTTCTCTGAACACTGCCCCTTATCCTGGCTGAGCCATGGCGTCTCACCTTTAGGCTTTCCAGCTCAGTCAGAGACCAGCCCATTGATTAGACCCCTAAGCCTCTCACTAGATCTCAAAGTGTGGAGGTAAAACACCCCTCTTCTTCCCCTTGTGGGAGAGCCAGAGAGGGGCTGCAGAACATAATTACAGCTTCTCCAGAGAAATTCTGCTCTTAATTTTTTCAACTCCAACCCCACTGGACTCCTGAGATAGGTGACAGACTAGGGACTGACAAACAGGTTGCTGAGTACCCTGTTGGCAAGTCTTGTGGAAACTACCTGGGACCTATTATTTTGTTGTCAGCCAATGGGAAGATTAATCAGAGATAGAATGAATCATATTTTAGCACCCAGCTTACAAGTTTAAAAACGTAAAGATATGAGTTGAGGTTGTCAGGATATCCCCTAGTTCTCCTCTGTTCCCACATGCTGCCACCTTCTGGGCTCAGAGCCTTCGTGTGGCTGTCTCCTCCTCCATTTCAGGTCTTGGCTTAGGTGCAGCTGTCCTCAGAAGGAGGCCTGCTTTGCCCATCCAGCCTAAAGCAGGTCCCTGTTGTACTCTCTCAGCTCCCTTTTTTTTCCTTCACATATTTATTATAGTGTGTAATCATATATGTATATAATTAATTTCTGTCTCCTACATTAGACTATTAGCTCCAGAAGGACAGAAGCTATATCTGCTTGGTTCATAGAGGCTTCCCTGGAGCCCAGTGTATAATTTATTATGGAGCTCATGCTCAGAAACATTAGGATACACTGTAGTATACTTTAGAGCTCATGTCTTGGAGCTCTACTGACTGGGTGTGAACGTCTGTTGTTTACTAGCCATGTACTCTCAGGAAAATCATTTACCTTTTTGTGCCTCTGTTTCCTCATTGTAAAATTGGGACAATAGTACCAAATATTAAGTGTTATGTAAATTGATACAAAGTGCTTAAAAAGAGTGCATGGGACATAGTAAGTGATTTCAAAGTGTTTGCTATTATTATTAACTGCATGGGGGAAGCATTGTCTTCTATGTAGTAGAAAAAGTGTTTTTAGGGAATATTCAGTTAACAAATAGTTATCTTTTCACCACAAGACAGGGAAAACTCACCAGTGTAGTGTGTTTTAGGAAATGGAAAGTCATCCCCAATACTCTGGAGTGGAGAGCTGCTCTTTGTGTCTGTATCACATAGATCTGGGGAAAGAACATTCAGGATAGCAATCTAGTTCAATGGCTCACGCACAGGCTTTGGAGGTAGACAGATCAAGCTCAAATCTTGCCTCTTTCACTTAGAAACTCTATAATTTTGGAGAGTTAATTTCTCTCTGAGGCTCAGTTTCTTCATACAGGCATACCTCGTTTTATTGTGTTTTGCTTTAGTATGCTTCACAGACTCTGTTTTTGTCTTTGTATTTGCAAATTGAAGGTTTTGTGTCAACCGTGCATCAGGCAAGTCTATTGGTACCATTTTTCCAACAGCATGTGCTCACTTCAGGTTTCTATGTCACATTTTGGTAACTTTTGCAATATTTCAAACTTCTTCATTACTATTGTATCTGTCATGGTGACTTGTAATCCGTTATCTTTAATATTACTATTGTAATTTTTGGGGATGTCATAAACTATGCCTATATAAATTGGCAAACTTAAATGATGAATGCTGTGTTTGTTCCAACTATATGACCAACTGGCTGTTTACCTTTCTCTTTCCCTCTCCTGGGGCCTCTCTATTCCCTGAGACAACAATATTGAAATTAGGCTAATTGGTAACAATGGCCTCTAAGTGTTCAAGGGAAAGGAATAGTCTCACATCTTTCACTTTAAATCTAAAGCTAGAAACAATTAAGCCCATAAGCCCAGTGAGAAAGGCATGACCAAAGCTGAGACATGCCAAAAGCTAGGCCTCTTGCACCACTTAGCCAAATTGTGAATGCAAAGGAAAAGTTCTAGAAAGAAATTAAAAGTACTGCTCCAGGAAATCCACAAACAGTAAGTGAAACAGTCTTACTGCTGATAGGGAAAAAATTTGAGTGGTCTGGATAAAAAGATCAAGCCAGCCACATTTCCTTAAACCAAAGCCGAATCCAGAGCAGGATCCTAACTCTCTTCAAGTCTATGAAAGCTGAGAGAGGTGAGGAAACTACATAAAAACTATAAATCATTCTACTATAAGGACACATGAACACGAATGTTCATTGCAGCACTGTTTACAATAGCAAAGACCTGGAACCAACCCAAATGCCCATCCACAATAGACTGGATTGGGAAAATGTGGCACATATACACCATGGAATATTATGCAGCAATCAAAAAGGGTGAGTTTGTGTCCTTTGTAGGGACATGGATGAATTTGTAGAACATCATTCTCAGCAAACTGACACAAGAACAGAAAATGAAATACCGCATATTCTCGCTCATAGGTGGGTGATGAAAAGAGAGAGCACATGGACACAGGGAAGGGAGTACTACACACTGGGGTCTACTGAGGGGAATAGGGGAGGGACAGCGAGGGGGGGAAGGGAGGAGGGATAGCCTGGGGAGAAATGCCAAATGTGGGTGAAGGGGAAGACGGCAGCAAAACACACTGCCATGTGTGTACCTATGCAACTATCTTGCATGATCTGCACAGGTACCCCAAAACCTAAAATGCAATAAAAAAAAAAAAAGAAAAGTTAGAAGCAAGCAGAGGTTGGGTTTATGAAGTTTAAAGAAAGAAGCCAACTCCACTGTCATAAAACCGCAAGATGAAGCAGCAAGTTATCCAGAAGATCTAACTAGGAACACTGATGAGGGCTGCTACACTAAACAACAGATTTTCAGTGGAGAAGAAACAGCTTTCTATTGGAAGAAGATGACATTTAGGAATTTCGCAGTGAGAGAGAAGTTAATGCCTCACTTCAAATCTTCAAAGAAGGTGCTGATTCTCTTGTTAGAGGCCAGTGCAGCTGATGATTTCAAGTTGAAGCCAATGCTTGTTGCCATTGTGAAAATCCCAGGACCCTTAAGAATTACACAAAATCTACACTGTTTGTGCTCTGGAAATAGAAAAAAGCCTAGATGACTGAACATCTGTTTATAGCATGGTTTGCTGAATATTTTAAGCTCACTGTTAAGACCTACTGCTCAGCAAATTGATTTTCTTTCTACAATTTTTTTCTTAGACAGTCTCTTGCTCTGTTGCCCAGGCTGGAATGCAGTGGCATAATCTTGGCTCACTGCAATCCCTGCCTTTCAGACTCAAGTGATCCTTTGGTTAGCCTCCAGAGTAGCTGAGACTACAGACATGCACCACCATGCCTGGCTAATTTTTGTATTTTACATAGGGACAGGGTTTTACCATGTTGTCCATTGCGGATTTGAACTTCTGAGCTTAAGTGATCTGCCTGCCTTAGTCTCCCAAAGTGCTGGGATTGCAGGTGTGAGCCACTGCATCCAACCACAACAATTGTTTTCAAAATATTGTTCATTAACAATGCACCTTGTCACTCAAGAGCTATGATGGAGATGTATAAGAAGATGAATATGGTTTTCATTCCTCTAACACAACATTCATTCTATAGCTCATGGATCAAGGAGTAATTTCAACTTTCAAGTGTTACTATTTAAGAAATACTTTTCATAAGCTGTCATAAATAGTGCTGCCTCTGATGGATCTGGACAAAGTAGATTGAAAACCTACTGGAAAGGATTCACCATTCAAAATGCAATTAAAAATATTTGTGATTCATGGGTGGAGGTCAAAATATCAACATTCCAATTTCTTCCAGGAGTTTAAAAGGAATTGCTCCAACTTTCCCGGTTGATTTTGAAGGGTTCAAGACTTCAGTGGAGGAAGAAACTGAAGGTGGTAGAAATAACAAGAGAATTAGAATTAGAAGTAGAGCCTGAAGGAGTGATTGAATTACTATAATCTTGTGATAAAACTTGAGGAGCTGTTTTATCATATGATAAATTTTATGATAAAACTTGAGTTGTTTTTGATGGATGAGCAAAGAAAGTGGTTCTTGAGACATAATCTACTCTGAAGATACTATGAACATTGCTGAAAAGAAAGAATTTACAACATTATACACACTTAGTTGATAAAGGAGTAGCAGGTGTGAGAGGAATGACTCCAGTTTTGATAGTTCTACTGTGGATAAAATGCTAACAAACTGTATCATATGCTACAGAGAAATCTCTCATGAAAGAATCAAGTGGCCAGTCACGGTGGCTCACGTCTGTAATCCCAGCACTTTGGGAAGCCGAGGCAGGTGGATCGCCTGGAGTCAGAAGTTTAAGACCAGCCTGGCCAATATGGCAAAACCCTGTCTCTACTAAAAAGACAAAAATTAGCTGGGTCTGGTGTGGGTGCCTGTAGTCCCAGCTACTTGGGAGGCTGACGCTGAGGCTTGATCTCAGGAGGTGGAAGTTGCAGTGAGCTGAAATTGCACCATTGCACTCCAGCCTGGGCGACAGAGTAAGACTCCATTAAAAAGAGTCAACTCGTGGCAAACTTCATCGTTGTCTTATTTTAAGAAATTGTCACGGGCACTTCGACCTTCAGCAAATATTACCCTGAGCAGTCAGCAGCCATCAGCATTCAGACAAACCCCACCCACCAGCAAAAAGATTATGACTCACTGGAGGTTGAGATTATTGTTAGCATTTTTAAGTAATAAAGTATTTTTAAATTATTTACATTTTTGGATATAATCCTACTGCACATTTAAGAGATGACATTATAGAGTAAACATAATTTTATATGCTCAGAGAAAGCAAAATATGCTGTGACTTGCTTTATTGTGATATTCTCTTTATTGTAATTATCTGGAACTGAACCTACAATATATCCAAGGCAAGTGTGTATTTACAATGGGGATAATAGTAGTACCTACCTGACACGGTTTTGTAAGGATTACATAATTTTGGATACAAAATAGTATTTCGCACATCTTAAATTCTTAGAAACACAGCCATCATTAATATTGTTACTGGTAACAATAGCTAAAACCATATACAAATACTGGATAGAACTCTGTATTTTAGAGGTAAATTTTTAGAAATTCCTTATAGCATGTGTTTTTGATTTTGCAAAAAGTATAATCTAATTAGAAGAAAAACCAAGCAAAAAAGGAATCTGTTTCAATCCCTGCTTGTTTCAAGTAATATTTACTACGATTAGTTTCTAGTATGTAACATAAATCAGATTGCAAAGGTGAGGAATGATCTGAATCCCAATCATCCGTGAATTTACAGGCACACGAAGCACCTCCTCATGAAGGCACATAGAACTCTTAGCACTGAAGGCTCCATATAAATCAAAGTTATGGTGGCGTCTCAACGAAACTGACTGAAATAGCCTTCTCTGCACACAAATAAATTCCTTAGTTTTTAATCTGGGAAACTTTAATATAAAATTCTCAGTGTCTGATTTATTGGAAAACAAATTTGGATTACTTTAGAAATGTAGATTTCTAGTTAGTCCTAGGATAATTTAGATGACAAAGGGAGATTTCCATGAAGAAGTTCTTTCATTTACATTTATTTCTTTGAGTAACTTGTGTTATTCAACAAATACCCAATGTATGTTAAGTGGTGGTGGGGGGGGGAATATAGTTTACAAAGACATTCTACCTATAAGATTACATCTCTGTTCAGAATAGGCTCAGAGCATATGGCCTAGGTGTTGCCATTAATAACTTCTTATAATCAGTCTCTTGATGATTAAACATTTTCAAAACATTTGCCTGGTCCATTTCCTGAGCTGTCTTCTGAGATCTGATCATTGAAAAATGCATGGCACCTCCTTGCAAGCCCATCTGTTTCCCTCCCTCCCTCCCTCTCTCTCTCTCCCTCTCCCTCCCTCCCTCCCTCCCTCTCTCTCCCTCCCTCTCTCTCCTGCTCTGGCCATGTGATATGCCTGTTTCCCCTTCCACCATGATTGGAAGCTGGCTGAGGCCTCCCAAGAAGCAGATGCTGCCACGCTTCCTGTACAGCCTGCAGAACTGTGAGCCAATTAAACTTCTTATAAATTACCCAGTCTTGGGGTTTTTTAATAGCAATGCAAGAACAGCCTAATATAATTATGTATACTTGATGTGATGTCTTTTGTTTTTTTCCTCAAGGAAGCGAAATAATTAAGGCAGATTTTAGACTTGTTTTTGGGTCAGTGCTAATGGATATTCAAGTAATGCATTCAGCAGGACTCCAAA